CTTAAAATTTTCAAGCTCGACTCGAACTCGAAATCTTGAACTGAAGCTCGTGAGTAACTCGAAAAGGCTCGAAATGAAAAAAATTCTTAAACTTAACTCAATTAAAGTTTCAAACCCGAACATAAACCTTAAATACTTGAAAATTTTACTGTATTTTTTATAAAAAAAATCAATACATAAATTTTAAAATTATTAATAATTTGTTTTTTTAAAAAAAATAAAAATCTTAATATATTATATTTTCGAGCTGCTCACAGCTTTTTGAGTCGAATATTAAGTATCTCGTTTTGACTCGTTAAAAACTTGAGTCGAGCTCGAGTCGAGTCCATTCGATCTGAGTATTTATCGAACCTTGATCGAGCCAATCTCGAGTATCTCATAATCTGTCTCGTCCCATTTACACTCTAACGGGGATAGCGTATGAACAAAGCGAAAGGTCGAAATCTGAGAGCATGATGTGACCGTCTAATCTTACTAAAACGTTTTACGGTTTTAGGTCTCTGTAAATAATGCCCAACATGTGAAGGTACTCTAGAGCTACCAGAACCTCGGCTGCATAAAACCTGTTGAAAAAATTTATTAACAACGAGAGATCTAGCTTAAATGAATATCATGCAAACAATGCGAGATTCGTTTGCTAACGTTTAAACTATCTCATCTACCAACATGAGAAAAATAAATCAATGACAAGACTAACTCTTTTAATATTGCCTGCAATTGGATCCAGAATCAAATAAGGAATTTGAGCAAAAGGTCTCCTAACAATTACATGAATTAAGCTTAAACAAATGCAAGGAAGATCGAATCAATTTTTAGAGATAAGGTTGATTATTGTTGTGACTTTGCATGGTAGAAGCAGACAAGGATAAGAACAAGTCAAGCTATGTGTTTGCAACACAACACAACACAGTACAGGAAAAACAAAACACTAAGAATAAAGAATGCATGAAGCATCACTGTAAAGTCAATGTAGTTAAAAAAAATTTAAAAAAAAAGGAAAACTGTCGGCTATGCAAGTAGAAGAGAAAGAGGGTACCTTGCGGAGCTCAAAGAGAAGAGTTTTTGAGGTTGTTTATGTCTAAGAGAATGTAAGTCACCGCCTGAACAGTACTCCATGACTATACAAGAAAAATTAGAAGTTTCAAACTCAGCGTACGAAGTAGGCAAAAATGGATGATCCAGCATCTTCAGGATCTTCTTCTCCATCTCAGCACGTTGCGCCTTTTTCTTCATAGCCAACGCTTCCTTATCCACCACTTTCATCGCATAAAAACAGTTTTCATCGGCGATGGCCAACCGACAGAGGTAGACAGTTCCGATGTCGCCGGAACCTATGTTGCGTACCAGTCGGTAATCACGGAAAGTAAGGCCGGTTTTGCGGGCCAAGGTGGCGGATCGGATGTTGGAGTGAGCGAAGTCGGATGATCGGTGGGGTTTGAGAGAAAGGTTGTCTGGGGTGGACTTAGATGTGGGAAGAACCTCAAAAGAGAGACAACTGAAACTGCTACAGCTTTCACTACTCATTGAACTTTGAATCGAAGAATTCCTTGTTTCTGAACTCACCCCACTTTCTGACTTACGTTTGTACTCCAACATTTTATGTTTTCTCACCCTGATTGTTTCTCTCTACTCGCAAGAGAGAATTAAAAATTGTCAACGGTGGGTGAAAGCAATGAACTTTGAAGACTGGAAGCAGAGATGGGTGCCCGGGGAATCAAAAACATAGAGGATTAATGCATCAAATGAAACAACTAAAGGAAGGGGATGGTATTCAGAAAAATGGATTAAATGCACATACTGAAACAGCAGAGCAGGCTCTTCTTTATTACAGGGCTCGCTGGGACCTGAAAATTAGGATTTTTGACCAATACTCAGTCCGTACGCAGAAAGATCATCTACCCCGAACAAACTAAAGAAATGAAGAAAAAAATATTTCAAGCCTTTTGGACTTTATCTGTTTTGGTTTGCTCTGAAGAGAGGATGAACAACAAAGGCAAAAGGAACTGAGAGGGTTTGGTTGGGGCTATTTATGGTTTATGAAATGTACGGACCCAGGCTTTATCTTACGATTGAAGAGGCTGTGATTAGCTTCGGAATTTAACTTTTAACCATCAACTTACTTGGCTTAAAAAAAACAATGAAGTGTCTTTGCAATTTACACGTGAGTGTGAAAATACCACAGGGTTTTGAGTGTGAAATTTGAAATGAGAGATTTTGCTGTTTACCTGTGAGATGAAGCTATAGCTAGTAGACTGATAGCAGTGTGGTGGACAGGATGATGCGTTTCGTTTCTGTACTTGCGTCTGGCTGTTCGTCACATGGCAGAGGTTGCGTTTTTACTTTAGTGGTTTCACGGTGGCAGGATGTCACACTTAGGGCTAAATTTTATTAGTTTTAAAATATCAAATTAAAGTTGTAATAAATGAAAATTTAATACCAAATTATAAGTTTTTGAAATTTTTGGGATATTTTCAAAATTTTAAGAAGTTCAGGGACTTAGTTCTAAATTTTTTCAGTTTTTCTGGATAATTAATACCAATTCCCGCAAAATCCGTTTTTCTAGAAATTCAGCGAGGACTTGTATTAATCAAGAAAAATTCGTTTTCACTACCTGATATTGATGCTGTATAATTGGAAGACCGTTCTGAAGCAAATATTGTGCCAAAGGTTATTTTTTTTCTCCTTCCCCTACATTGCTCAGTATAGGTACTGAAAATATGGAAGAATTTGTTAGCTGGTTAAAAATGCCTTTCTTGAGTTTCTATCGTTCTTTCGAACAAAAACTTTTTAGGAAGATCTTCAAAGCTTGATACATTAAATGTGTATGATCGGTTCAATATTTCATCGTTTAAAGAGTTGGAACTGCAAGGTGGGGCTGGGTTGTTTCTTCTCGAGATAATGTTCTGAAAGAAATTAATTCACGAGCTAATGCACTCCCAAGATTAATTGCTCAAATAGGGTGAAATCTACAGTGTTGGTCGTAGGTCGCCATGCCTTCCGGGCGACCTTGTAGGTCGCCATGCACTCCGGGCGAACTACCCTTGCTCAAACAGAGAGAATGAACGTGTTGCATGGCACATGCACGTCCCAACACATAGGTCGCCATGCCCTCCGGGCGATCTTGTAGACCTTGTAGGTTGCCATGCACTCCGGGCGACCTACCCTCGCTCGGCTGCCCTCTGATTCCCTCGCATAGCTCGCTCAGCTGCCATCGCATAGCTCGTTCGAATGGCCTCGGTCGGATGACCTCGGATGGCCTCGGTCGGATGGCCTCGGATGCCCAGCGTGTTGGGACGTGCATGGCACATGCAATCTCTTGTAGCTCGCCGGGAAGACATGGCGACCTAGTAGGTCGCCCGGAAGGCATGGCGACCTACGGCCAACACTGTGGATTTCACCTTATTTGAGCAATTAATCTTGGGAGTGCTTTATCTCGTGAATTAATTTTTTCCAGAACATTATCTCGAAAGTTTTGCCAATATTGCTGCTGTATAATTGGAAGACCGTTCTGAAGCAAATATTGTGCCAAAGGTTATTTTTTTTTTTCTCCTTCCCCTACATTGCTCAGTATAGGTTCTGAAAATATGGAAGAATTTGTTAGCTGGTTAAAAATGCCTTTCTTGAGTTTCTATCGTTCTTTCGAACAAAAACTTTTTAGGAAGATCTTCAAAGCTTGATACATTAAATGTGTATGATCGGTTCAATATTTCATCGTTTAAAGAGTTGGAACTGCAAGGTGGGGCTGGGCTGTTTCTTCCGGTGGGTGTTAATGACACTGTTATTCCAGTTTATGATGATGAGCTCACAAGTACCATATCGTATGCTCTAGTATCACCTGAATACCATTTCTAGACATGCCCTAAAGGGCGTTGAATAGGATGAGGATTTCTTTGTTCTTATTATTGATAGTTATGGGAAAGCTGGTATAGTTCAAGAAGCTGTCAAAATTTTCCAGAAAATGGAGGAGTTGGGTGTGGACAGGACTATCAAGTCTTATGATGATTTCTTTAAGGTTATATTACGACATGGTCGATATATGATGGCCAAAAGGTATTTCAATTAGATGTTGAGTGAGGGGATAGAGCCTACTCGTCATACCTATAATATCATGATTTGGGGATTCTTTTTGTCGTTGAAACTCGACACTGCTAATCGATTTTATGAAGATATGAAGACTAGAGGCATTGCACCTGATGCTGTGACGTATAATACATTGATTGGGGATTCTTTTTGTAGTTGAGACTCGACACTGCTAATCGGTTTTATGAAGATATGAAGACTAGGGGCATTGCACCTGATGCTGTGATGTATAATACATTGATTAATGGATATACTCGGTTCAAGAGAATGGAGGAAGCTGAGAAGTTATTTGTAGAGATGAAGGCGAAGAACTTAGCTCCTACAGTAATCAGCTACACTACCATGATAAACGGGTATGTTGCACTGTAGCAAGTTGATGATGGGTTGAGATTGTTTGAAGAGATAAAGTCATTTGGTATAAAGCCTAATGCAACAATGTATTCAACTTTATTGCCAGGGCTGTGTGATGCGGGCAAGACAAATGAGGCTAAGACTATTTTGAAGGAGGTGGTGAAGAATTTTCATCAAGCTGTTAAATTGTCAATGTAAATCTGGTGATATGAAGGCAGCTTCTGATGTGCTCAAGGCAATGATTCGATTGAGTATTCCAACAGAGGCTGGTAATTATGGTGTCTTGATTGAGAACTTTTGCAAGGCGAATGAGTTTGATCAGGCAATCAAGTTGCTGGATAAGCTTGTTGAGAATGAAATTGTGTTGAGGCTAGAAAATTCTTTAGAGATTGAGTCTATTCGAACGTTGATCAGAGCTGTATCTAATGGCTAATATATTCTGTTAGTATGGCAGCATGAATTTCCAGAAATTATCTTACAATGAAGCTTTGTTCTACCGTACCGGAAATGATTTGTAGGTATCGTATTTTTCTTCAATTTTGAACTTCTTTTGAGACAACCTTTATGTTCTGCAGCTACGACAAATCAACAGCTAATGGATAGAGGAAACCAGATGATGGATGAGGCTGATCAAGCCATTGACAGGGCTAAGAAGGTTGTTATCAAAACTTTTTTTGTAATATGATTATATGGCACCCCGTGCATTTTCTATAGGGAGAAATAATTGGTTTTATATTCATATCCTTAGACCTTGAAATTTCTTTCTATATTCTTCCTATATTGAACTTAAAATCAACAAAATGCAAGAAGTCTTGGGATGTCCAAAGTTTTGTATTAATTCCTCCCAACATTAACACATCCAGATTGATGGGCTATTCATAATGGAACACTAATTTTGCCTGACCCTTTTTAATATTAGGTTGTTCAAGATACTGTTGATGTTGGAACAGAAACTGCTGCAGCTCTCAAGGCTCAGGTACACAACTTGAAAGCAATAAGAATTATCAACATCGTGATCATCAAGTGTTTTACACTTAGATTGTATTAATCTTTTGAGATTATACATCAATATTCAAACTAAGCCGTGCTATTTCTATCATATCTAGACTGAACAAATGAGCAGGATAATTAATGAGCTGGATTATATCCATCTCTCAATCCAGAAAGCATCTAAACTGGTCAAATAAATTGGTAGGCAGTTCAATCTCTGAAACATACACTTCCCCTCACTCATACGATCCATATCACGTTAAATTGTATTTACTGATTTTATTATCCTTTTGTGAATAGTTTGCTACTGATAAATGCATTATGGCATTGTTGTTTCTTATTGTCATTGGAGTTATAGCCATTATAATCGTGAAGGTATGATTGTTTTCCTCAATCTCAATCCAACATTGATTACTGAACTAATATTGTATTGTGGATTTTGTATAACTGGATGAATATTAAAAGCATTTTCTCTAGATTCCAAGTGAAATTCCAGATTGAAAGCTGCCTAGGTAATTTATCGTTTCTTGTTGCACACAGTATCTATACCTATGCTCAATTGCTGGGTTTTCTTTTTCAGAGTTGGAATGGACCACCTGATGACATGTCAGGACTATCTGTATTGTAAAATCATTGCTCCTATACTCCCCGGGAGAAGGGTATGGTTGTGCTGTTTTGAATTTTGTTTACAATAGTTTTGGTGTGTCCACTAAGAGTTTGGCTGAATTTCCCATGCGCTAACCTCGTATTACACATTGTTATGATATCATGGAATAGCATTAGCATGATGAGATCTGTACGACAATGTTTATTTTTTTCACTCTATACATTGTTATGATTTTCATAATGTTTTATTACTACTACTGTAACTGTACCCCAAGACCTTATATTCAAATCGGTATGCTCAAATCTTTATTTTTATTTTTTATATTCGAATATTTTATATTCTAATATTCATATATTAACATCTACCTACATGTCAGTTTTTCTTTTTTAAATAATAGTATCGTATCTTGAAATTTTAGTTCGCCCCTAATATAAAATCGTGATTCCGTATCTAATGAAATGTTAGTAGAGTGAAGTGTTAAAATAATAATATAAATGGAAAGCATAATTGATGGTTGAATTTTGATTTGAGATGGGATGATTTGAAGGCTATTATTGTACGGCATAATTAGTAAGATGGGCATGGTCGGGTTTTTGATCCATCCGACCCGAACCGAGAACAAGAAATCCTCCACTCGAGATTCGACTCGACTCGACCCGACCAAAACAAGATTCCACCCGACCCGATATATAACTTAAAAATCCGACCCGACCCGAAATAAAAATATTTTTATTCAATAAAAATAGTGATTTAATTGAAAAAATAATATATAAATAGATATTATTGTAGTTATTCTTAAATAGATAATGTAAAATTATACATTTTTTCGGGTCGGGTCGGGTCATGTATTTTTCACCTTAAACCCGACCCGAACCCAATTTGTTTTTGAAAAACCCAACCCAATTGGGTCATATTAGGTCGAAACCCGTCGAGTTCGAGTCTCATGCCCGTCCCAAATAATTAGTAGTGCCTGTCTATCAAGACTTTTAATTAGATTAGAATAATCAATTTCAAATTTAGGCTTTATCTTTTTTAGATCAAGTAATTTATTTCTTTTTAGTTATTTAAATAAAGTATAATGCCGAAACTAATCTATAATATTTATCAATAAACAAATATGTGTACTCTCACCTATTTTTTATAATTCAAAAACATTTAAAGAGACAAAAACAATCTCTTCAAATAATTATTACATGTGAAAGGTGAAGTTGAATAGAAATTATGCTCTTTGAAATTTTCAGTTGTCTTCGCTATTGAAACGACAACAACGTAAACCATTTTGATTATCCATTTATCAACTGTTTGTGTATGAATTTTAAAATTCTTAAGAAGACATCAACATGACCGACCACTCTTTTTTTAAACACAAAAACCAGAAAGAAAAAAAGGGGGTCAAAAGTCAATATTGCAAATTGCTAAATCAACAACAGATTTCTATAAACCAACCAAAAACGAATAGTTTGTTGTGCGGTCAAAAGAGGAATGACATTGTTATGATGCTCTTAGCCACTGCCTGCAGCAATTGCCTGCTGAAGTACAAGTTCAGGTATGTCATCGTCTATACTTTACTATTTTTTTATTACTGGTTGTTTTGTGTTATCCGACTGAGATTCAAGCTACAAAAGAAGCAGCACCATATCAATGAAAGAAAGCAATTCCATAGAGTGAATATGACTCCCCTTGGTTGCCTCATACATTTTCCTCAACTTTTAATATATGTTGTAGGCAACCGCCTTCGAAGTGCAGAATCTTCTGGTTCCTGGTAGAAAAAAGAGGATTTGCAGCGTGCACAAGAGGGTCAATTGTGGGGACCTGCATTAGTTCTCGCATCGCAACATGGTAATCATGTTTGTTTTTTCACTTCATTCAATTGTCCATGACCTATTCCTTTTTTTTTTTAAAGAAGGTACTTTGTATTATAAACTAAGGTCCTCGTTAAAAAATCTCCCTAACCCTAAATAAAGGAAAAAGAGTAAAATAAGAGGTGGAAGGTGTTGGATCATAAACTTGATCCATTATGGGAGCCTAAACCCAAACCCAAACTAAATTGATGTCATTGCTTACATCATTTAATTAATGATGTCATTGCTTACATCAATTTAGTTAGGTGAGAGTTAGATATTTGTTGAATTTGTAATGGTTTAAATTAGTTTATTTGTGTGGTGTAGGATTGTTCTTGAGTAGTATAAATACCCCTTCCCATTTTAGTTTTAAGCATCAAGAAAAATTAAGAGCTTCTAAGTGAGTGAAGAAGCAAAGTCTTATAAGAGTGAGTTGTAGTTCTTGTTTTTGAGTGAGAGTACTCTTGTAATATTTGTTTGAGTTTCAATAAAAGTTGTTTGTGTGAGCGTTTTATTTCCAACAAAGTGGCATCAGAGAGAGTTGGAAAGATCGAAGGTCTCGACGAGAGGAATACGCCGCTGCCAGAATTTTCTCAATCTGAGTTCTGACGCACCGCCACGCACCGCCGGAAGACTGCTGCCAGAAAATCGAGTTGACTCACCGAGTTGAGCCGATTCAGCCGAGTTGGAGCCCTTGACCGAGGTGTCCAAGTCCCTCCAAAGTTTTTTTTTTTTTTTTTTTCATCGTTCCGGATTCATCCGTGCAATCGGATTTTACAAAATCTCATTATATTGAGAGATATGGCAAATGGTATGGCACCATTCCAAGTTCCGACACTCAACAACAACAACTACGACAATTGGAGTATCAAAATGAAGGCACTTCTTGGATCACAAGATGTGTGGGATATCATAGAGAAAGGCTATAATGAGCCTGCGGATGATGATGTTTTTGCTACTCTTACACCAGATCAAAAGACAACTTTGAAGGATTCAAGAAAGAGAGACAAGAAGGCTCTCTACCTCATCTATCAAGCATTAGATGATGATGGTTTTGAAAAGATTTCAAGTGCAAGCTCTAGCAAGGAAGCGTGGGAGAAGCTGCAAACCTCTTACAAAGGATCCGAGCAAGTGAAGAAGGTTCGTCTCCAAACATTAAGAGGTGAATTCGAATCCTTAAACATGAAAGCATCTGAGTCTATTTCAGATTATTTCTCAAGAGTAGTAGCTGTTTCTAATCAATTAAAAAGAAATGGTGAAAAGTTAGACGATGTGAGGATAATAGAGAAGATACTCCGTTCGTTGGATCCCAAATTTGAGCACATCGTCGTGACGATTGAAGAAACTAAAGACTTGGAAGAAATGAAGATCGAACAGCTCCAAGGATCATTGCAAGCATACGAAGAGAAGCATAAAAAGAAGCATGAGTTTACTGAGCAACTCCTCAAGCTGCAACTCAAGGATATGCATGAGAGCCAACGCAATGATAGAAACCAACGTGGCCAAGGCAGAGGTAGAGGCCATGGACGAGGTGGAAGTCGAGGTCGTGGACGAGGCTGGAATTACAACAATAACAATTCCAACAACAACTATGAGAAAGGAGAAAGCTCAACACGAGGCCGTGGAAGAATTAATCCAAACTCAAAGTATGACAAATCTCAAATTCGATGTTATAATTGTCAAAAATTTGGGCATTATGCTTCAGAATGTAGAGCTCCCAACAACAAAATTGAGGAGAAGGCCAATTACGTGGAGGAAAAGACAGATGGCAAAGAAACTCTTCTTCTAGCACGAAAGGAAACTGATGGTGGCCAAGCAAATTCCTGGTATCTTGACAGTGGTGCAAGCAATCACATGTGTGGAAGGAAAGACATGTTTGTGGAGCTAGACGAGTCAGTAAGTGGAAATGTTTCGTTTGGAGATGATTCCACAATAGCAGTGAAAGGGAGAGGTAACATTCTTATCCGTTTGAAAGATGGGAGACATCAATTTATTTCAAATGTCTACTATGTGCCCAATATGAAAAGTAACATTTTAAGTTTAGGGCAACTGGTAGAGAAAGGTTATGATATTCATATGAATAATTATAATTTTCTATAAAAGATGATAAGAATAACTTCATTGCTAAAGTGCCGATGTCAAAGAATAGAATGTTCTTGATCAACATACAAAATGATGTTGCAAAGTGCCTGAAAGCTTGCTACAAAGATGCATCATGGCTTTGGCATCTTCGATTTGGGCATCTCAATTTTGGAGGTCTAGAGCTATTATCTAAGAAGGAGATGGTGAAAGGACTACCTCACATCAACCATCCTGACCAACTCTGTGAAGGGTGTCTAGTCGGGAAACAATTCAGGAAAAGCTTTCCAAAGGAGTCAGAGACAAGAGCTAAGAAGCCACTTGAGCTCATCCATACCGATGTGTGTGGACCGATCAAGCCAAGTTCTCTCGGTAACAATAACTATTTTCTTCTCTTCATTGATGATTTTTCAAGAAAAACCTGGGTATATTTCTTGAAACAGAAGTCAGAAGTTTTTGAAGTATTCAAGAAGTTCAAAGCAGCAGTGGAGAGAGAAAGCGGTAGAAAGATCAAAGCCATGAGATCCGATCGAGGTGGAGAATTTACTTCCAGGGAGTTTCAAGAGTTCTGTGAAGCAAATGGAATTCGTCGACCAATGACAGTTCCTAGATCCCCCCAGCAAAATGGTGTGGCAGAAAGAAAGAATAGAACAATCCTCGACA